CATTATTTAAGATATACCAGTACAACCACTATACGACACTACGCATTTACTGTAAATAATATAATTTTTTCAAAATGTTTTCACGCTATCTTGGAGCAACAAAATAGCAACAAATTCTGGTATAAATGATTTTTTGATTCGAGCACTCTATATATTTTTTTTGTTATGGTGGGGGGGCCAGCTTAATGTCAAGCTGGCTCCCCCCACTTTAAACGTGAATTCCTGCTAAACGGTAAGAGCAACAAAATCCGGATTGCGGCAACTAATTAGCACATAATTAGCACTAAATTAATTGATAGGTGCGACTTGATTTGGCGATGGTGGGGAGTCCAACTTAATGGGGGTACGAAGCGGTGCATTTTGCAAAGATTGGACGCCAAAACGTCCAAAGCCACCAAATAGATGAGCTTTAGAAAGCGAAACCGAGAAAACCGTTGGTGCTGCTAAGAAATTAAAATCGATGTCGGTATCTGATGTGCTTGTGCCGGAGAATAACACTTTAAATTACCGAATTCTAAATTTCAATTCCGTTTTTAATGAAATTTCACAAGTCGTAAAATGTAAAACGTGCGAAGGTGACGTAAAATTCCAGACAGAAAGCACTCGCGGACTTGGCTTTAAAATTGTGATTATTTGTGACAAATGCAGGCCAACAGACGTTTTTTCTTGCCCGAAAATCGGATTATCGTACGAAATCAACCGGCGATTCAGTTTTGCAATGCATTGCTTAGGACAAAAAGCATCTGCCAAAAAAAAATTTTGTGGATTAATGGATTTGCCTCCTCCTGTCGCTCAAAAATCGCACAATGAAATTTAGAATAATATTCATATAGCATCCAAGGCCATCGCGGAATTACTCATAAAAGACGCGGTACAAGAGAAGCAGTTGAGGACGAGTTTGGAGCAAGAGGTCGAAAACGCTACGGATTTAGGTGTTTCGGAAGACGGAACTTGGCATAGGCGCGGGTTTTCTTCTCTGTATGGCGTGTGCAGTCTCATTGGAGTGCATTCGAAAAAGATTGTCGACGTAAACGTGAAATCTTCGTACTGTAAAAAATGCAAGGTTTGGGCCAAAAAGAAAGACACTGAAGAGTATGGGATTTCGCGAGTGGGAAATCGAGCACCAAAACAAATGTCAATCAAATCATGAAGGTTCAGCTGGAAAAATGGAGGTCGATTCTATTAAAGAAATGTTTCACAGATCAACAGAAAAAAGTACGGAGTAAAAATATACGCATTACATTGGTGACAGTGATTCGAAGACGTTCAAAGGTATCGTTGAATCTCGACCGTACGGAGATACAGTTGAAGT